GTGGTTATAAAAGGCTTCTACCCCCCAGGGATGAGGTATGCTAACTCTCGCGCTATCTGGTTATTCTTGCCTTTGAAGGATTCTAACTTAAGCTTCGGAGCCCTTACGCCGGGTTCTCCCCGGAGCTTCTCTTCTCCTCCCGTTTCAGGTCCCTGTTACTCGATTCAAAGGCAAGATCATCGACAGCTAAGACCGGCCAGATCGTGCATCATCAGCAATCATTTATGACAATTAGGTGCCACTTTAGGGTAACAATGAATAAATGCATGGCCTTTTATTGAAAGCTTCAAAAAATAACTTCTACAAATGACTAATATGTACATAAACCAAAGTTAGAGAAAATGCTGAAATGATGTCTATATGGCACCACCAATAAACATTTACTGAAACGGAACCAAACACCCTGCTGCTCACTCATCTATGGATCTCGTTCTAGAGTTGGTTGGCTCGTCCTCATCTCTTCGTCTTCAATTTTATAATCATCTATCATTGCAACTTTGTCGAACTTCCGACAGAAGCTCTTGGACAAGAGCGGAAGCAAAGAAGATGAGAGTCGACCTGAGAAGCAGAGGCGGAAGGTATCGCAAGGATTTGGTTGGAGATTAACGAAATGGAAGAAATGCAAGTGGAGACAAATGAGAAAACAGTGGTCTTCGTTGAAAAATCCGGTGTCATTGCTAGGGGGCTGGTCGGATGTGTCATGCCTGACCGATTCTGACGGGAAATCAAGGCTGAACTCCTCGGCTTCTTCTGCCATTGTAAAAACAATGGGGACGTAACGGAAAACCGCTAGAGACACTGCGACGGAGGCAAAGCCTATGGAACATCCAGGGCGCATTGTGAAGGTGACGATGGAGAAGAAGGTGAGAGGTCTAGGGAGCGAGGCAAAGCGGGAGGAGAATGACACACTGGATGCAATGTGGAAATTGACCGCAGACAAACAGAATCCTACGAAACGATAGTTGAGGAAGGGTGACACGTGGGACACGCCACCTTGAGTGGTGGTCGGAGCAAAGTCGGAATCAATGGCAGCAGCTAAGGAAGTCGGACACGTTCAACGACACTGCATCGTCGGCGTCATCGGCTTCGTTTGTGTTGGATTTGATGAGAGCGGATTTGGCCCTCCAATGACATTGTGACACCCGACACATCATACCAACTAAGTGCAGCCTCTTAACAGATAGACAGCTGGAGCTCGTCTCAGGCAGTTCGCCACTAGGCAGCTTGTCATCATGCAACTCGCCCCAGGCAGTTTGCCACAGGCAGTTCGCCACAGGCAGCTTGCCACAAGCAGCTCGCCATCTTGTAGCCTGGCACCTTAGAACAACTAGGTGACACCCAGGACCACTTTGGCAACAACTTGCCTTTGCTAAGTTGGATTTTAATTTTTAATATAACTATATAAATTTTATACATTAAAATCAATAAATATTATATTATAACTGGATTTGGATTTTAATCGGATCAGATGGAGTTAAGTCCAAATCAGATCCGATTATTAATTGAATGTTCATTGCAAATTGCAAATTTCAAATGCTTTGATTATATAAATACATAATTTGAATCTAAGATAATCTAATTAGATGTTAGACTGGGGCATGGATTTTGAGAATCATTGGCAAGCCTAGGTGTAATTAAGTCGAGCCGAGCATTAAGCTACTTGAGTTCAAGCTTGACTCAAAAATATAGAACTCAAAACTCAACTTGAGATCGATAGAGTTTCATGTATTTGGTTCGAACTCGACTCAAATCAATACTTGTGAGATACTCGAGCTCTCCTCGACTCAAGCTGATTATAAATAATTTAATATTAAAAATTATAAATAAATTAATACTAAGTACATTGAAATATTAAAAATGAAAATATATTAATAATTATATATAAATTAACCTTATAAATACTATAAATAAAAAAATATATTACGAAACTCAACTATAAATGTATTTATTTATATTATAGATATAAATATATAAAAGAATAATATTTTATTATGAGCTCAATTAGGCTCGCAAGCCACTCGAGCCGACAAAGCTCCACTAAGTACTTGACTCGAGTCAAGCTCAACTCGAAAGTTTGAATATTTAGCAAGTTGAGCCTGAATAAATCCCAAATATTTCACTTCACTTGTAGCATTTCAAATCTAGATGACTTTTGGGATTTTATGGTCTTTTTTGGGGTCCCATATTGTGGTTCAGTGAACTTTCATGAGCCAAACAGGAAAAGACCATTTTTGAGATTTTGCATTTTTTTTTGTTTTTTACTTTTATTAGATATTTCTATCAAAAGAAATGATAAAATATTAAAACAGACATAGACAAGAGAGCCATAGATTTGCTTCATTTCAGAGTTTCGAAGTGACTGGTTCGGTTAACCTCATTTTTCAGTTGAGTTTCTCGATTTTTTCATGAGCATCTCTAATTTTTGTTATGGTTTATGTTTAAAAGGGCAAATTTTAGTAAAAAAATGTTTGTTTTATTAACATGTAAACAAGTTCACTATCACTGTCTTTTCATTAAAAAGGATTTGGGCTTTGAACCAAATCCCTTGAACAATTTGCTGTAGGTTCTTTACCGAAGGACTTTTATATAATACTGAACAGAATGGATGGTGAAAAATTCAATTTTGATAAACATGGGACTAAAAATTTGAGATTTTATTAATTATATATATATATATATATATAAAGTATCTTATATTTTTACTTATGCATATATTTAATATATTCTAAATGTATCTATATACAAAATATGTCAAGTTTTTTTACTCCACTCTWTTGAAATGAAAACACAATAGACATTGTGACTAATCTTTTCCAGTATTACATTTATTTGGCCATTTTTTTGACATATTTTGGTCTTCATTCCAAATTGTACACTGAAATTTCCCATATCATATTTATTCCATGTTCTAATATAAATATATTAGTCAACTAAACCTGTTA